GATGGAGGAACATTAAACAAATCATTGGTTGGATATTTAAAAACGGGCTGATTACACGCGGCACTTCACCAGTTTGATACCCTTCTCATCAGCGTTTCTGCTCTGAAAGGTGTTATTTTCGTACATTTGGCGGATGGTGAGGAACCTGCGGGGACATTTTGGTGGCAGCAGCAGAGCTATGATCTAATTCTGTGGTAAGCAATTACTGCAAACATTATTCACAGTGCAGAAGTGAACTCAGCATCATGAGGGCTTACTCTCCCACAAAGGGAGCAGGCAGGAACAAAAAAAAAAAATGCTGAGGCAGACTTCTGCTATTCCATCGTGTTTATTTAAGAGATTTTCTCTTATTGAGCAGTTTTTCTATTACAAAACAAAACAATAGCATGACTTTAAAAGTGCATTAATGTTACGCGGCGCCGCACATTCTGGATTTTTTTTTATCAAACTAAAATTATTCAGTGTTAGTCATCTTCTCCTGTGAGGGTTTTGATGGTTTCCAGAGATGCAGGAACATTTTCCTCTGATACCAAAAATCTGAAACATCTGGTTTCACACTCCAGAACAGTAGGGGGCGATAATGTGCAGTTGGCCGGGAATGCTCAATTGAAGGGCGCAAGGTTGCAAGTGCGAGTATTGGAATTGGGCCAGCATCTACAGACATCATTTATGTAGACATGACGTCAACTGGCACTGCCTGTTAGAGTTGCCGTGGCAGCAAGCCGCCATCTTGGATGGTTTAACATAAGCTCCCATTGCGTTTATATCTACTGCGGAAGATGTTTACCCAACTAAAAAACACATTGTATTATGCTTTTTCGCGAAACAAGACACATGGTATGGCATGATAGTTAAAATATATAATAAATCAAAATATAAAATCCAAACAGGTAGGCTAGAAAAGTCAATAGTAATCCCACGTGATATGTGTTCAATAGTACATCTGTTGTTACAACCGTAGGCTGCACAAAAAAAAAAACTAGCACAGTTGCTCACCCTGCATTGACTCCAGTTGGGTTTGAAGAGGGAGGAACCCATCCAATATGGCGGCATTGAGTGCAAATAAAACAGTAATTTTAGCACGATAAGAATGTTTTGAGCGAATGTTTTTCAGACAGACGATAATCTTCAAAAGTGAATGATAACATTTTATGAACAATATTGTTGGAAAAGTTTTGCCATGACTGTCAGGAGGAAACTAACACACACCCCACCATTATTCCCAAGAATCAACGCCCTCTAACCAGTCAGCAAACCTCTGCTGGTTACCTGGTTAAACTTTTAAGGTTAATTGTTGAGGAACAACACCTGTGGAATAAATAGAAGGAGTGTAAAACTACAGCAGCTGATCGTGTAAGTGTCTGTATTTACGATGACGCCCTGCAGTTCTACGGCACAAAAAGACAGTTTTCTTATTCACAATCTTTGACTCTGTTTAAATATTTTACAGGTTTCCTGTAGAAAATGTCCTGACACATGAATCATTACCTTCACTTACCAACACGGTACAACGTAATTACTGCTACGAGTTACGTGCTAACCCTCCAACCTGAAAATCTGCTGATGCAATGTAATAATCCACTCTGGGATCACACCTACGTGCATTCTTCTAAAAGTGAAAGTGCTCCAGCTGGAAATGAGCAGGTACACAAACCGGTGCAAAGAGACTGATTGCTGTGAGTCCTAACGCTCATCATTATGGGGTGCACTTGGAGATGATAATAAAACTATGGCAGTGAGTCGGGCGCCACTTCTCATCACCCCTCTGAGCCCCGCCCCCGTGTCAGGTCCCGTAGGACGTCTGGCCCTCGGACGTTCCCTGACTCCTTCATCAATCCAGCCCCGTCCGCCTGACAAACTAAAGGAGACTAATCAACTGTCAGGACGAGCACGCCGCACACTACATCTCCCTGCTTCCTGGAGCAACCCCCCCCCCCTAACAAATACACCCCCCACTCGCCGACCGCCACCATTTCTCCTATTACTGTCAGGGGCAGGAATAACTGCAGCTTGGCTACAAATAGACGAGGCTGCTCCCTGACCTGGTGCATATACATTCATTTCCCATTAACTCAACTCTGCTTTCATGGCCTCCATTATATATTTAACCCTAATCTCTCTCTAATCCCATGTCTAATCTCATATTAATCAAAACCTTTGATCCAAACACCTTTTTCTACCCTTCACTGATAAAAAATAGAACCGGAAAATGTGCAGTTTGTTTATTAATGGTAATAATTTGATGCATAAAAAACACAAATCAAATATTCTATCTGTGATGTGAACACGTCACCCAGTCCGGATCGGGGATACTATTTTAGAGATGAGAGTAGGATAATTTATGGTTTCCGGTATGTGTGTGTAGCCTGGTTCATTTCTGCCAGCTTGCTGCAAAAATCCCATAAGTTCTGAAGAAGAAATGACCGGATGAATAAGGAGCTGTAGTTTTCCGAAAGTAAAACCAAACAACTATCCTGTTACGTCTAACGGCGTCAGGAAACTTGGCAAGGTCACTGCTCTTCCTGGATTGATTTGTCATTTGGAGTTTCACCAACATCCTGCGTCTGATCTCCTAAAGACGGGTCGTGTGTTTGTTAAAAGGCAGGTTGTGTGTGTGTGTGTGTGTGTGTGTGTGTGTGTGTGTGTGTGTGTGTGTTTGCATTAATCACAGAATTGATTTTTTTTAAATGTCTTAGAAAAAAGTAACATACATCAGATTAATGTATGGCGCAAGTCCAGCTAACCTTAGTAAATACACAAATGACAATAACGTAGTCCAGTTTTACATCTAGTGAATTAAATTGTGAGGTTTTTTTTTTGCTGAGAATCGTCACAACAACAGAATGTGAGATCCGACCTTAGTTATGGAAGTCAATCCTGTAAAACGTCACATAAACCACTGAACAGATTGTAATTAAAGGTAGCTTGGCCTGCCAGACTCCTCCTCTGTTTAATTCTGCACAGAGAAAGGGTCTGGGAACTCTCCTATTCAAATAACCCCACCCCGTGAGAATTCTAACCGAGCCAATCAGCGCTGAGTATCGTACGTCACACACCACAACGCCGAGTTTGTCATAAACATGGTGACTGAAGTGGAGTTTGCTGAGGCTCTTTCCTTTGTCCTAAATGACTCAGATGTCTTTAAAACCACAAGTAGAAGCGCTAAAATCATTTCTTCTAAAAAAATAAAATAAAAGATGTTTGCGCCGTTGCCAGACGTTATTTTTTTACTACAACTAGAAATGTACTGTGTCGTGCGGTACAGTCGGGATATCCGTCTTTTTTCTGATTGGTCATTTTTGAGCTGCCTAGTCCCGCCCCTCAAGTGCCTCTCTGCCTGTGAGTTACCAGACTCATTCTCTGTGCAGAATTAAACAGAGGACGAGTCTGGCAGGCCAGGCTAAATTAAAGGTACAGTAAGTACAAATTTTACACTGAAAATCAAACTTTTCAATCATGTTGGAAGGAAAATCATATTGAAACAGATTTCCTTCTCAGCCAGTTGGGTCAGTTTGTTTTCTTTCAAAATGGCCAAAGAGAGACCTAGGGTGTTTCTCAATGTTAAGGCGCCTGGCCTTGCGAGGCGATGTATTGCGAGTCCAGGCGCCTTGCTGACGAGGACACCGTCCTTCCTTGGTCAGAGAAAACGGTTAAATGGAATAGACTTGCATCACGTGATTGTGGCTTCCACGGCAGTCACATAACGTCATGTGACACGGGAGATAACGTTATATTTTATACAAGTGTCAATATAAATATATAACGAGACTTTAACTTTTTAAATTGTGTGTATATTTGTTACATTAAATACATAAGCCAGTTACTACCACAAGTAATTTCATTCTTTCTCTTCTCCAGCCTTCCTCCAGTTTTTAGTTTCAATCAACTCAAATGAAAAAATAACCTAAAACAACTCTTTGTTGCATCTACTTTAGTTTAGCCTTTGTCACAATAACTTCATGTAATCACACTTATTTCACAGCACAAAGAAAGGCCCATCTTCCTCAGAAAGATGTCCCCGAGCCATGCAGTCAGGTTCTCTCAGGAAGCAACACCCATCTTCTGTCTGATAAACACCTCTGATTGAGGGAAGGAAGAAGAGGAGGTGACTTTGCTGGAAGCTCTTCTCTGATTGTGTGTGATATATGCATCAGCGGAGAGGCGCTATCTGCAGAGGGAACTGTTTTATATTTCTATATTTCCATGCACACCACAGACACCCTCAGAGTCTCTTTTCCTTGTGCAAAACTTCAAGGTTACCTCTCACCTGGCTGCTTACAGCCCACCGCTGACCAGCTGCAACAGATCCAAAAGGAGACCGTCTCCAGGATGAAACACTCGACCTGACAGGCAGCTTTTGTTTTAAGTTGTTTGCATCCTCTGCTATAGATAGACGAACTCTGGCATAAATAATTTATGGGAGCCAGCAGGATGTCTGACATGGATTGGTCTGGAAAGTTCTGTATCATTAGCACAAATCATGACTGACTAACTGTCAGAGTGGAAATTATAATAGATGCTGCAGAACAGGCAACAAGCACTAATTAACGCTCTGTCATTACAAGAAAATCATGATGAAAATTACAGCCAGCGTGCTCTTATTCCATGAGTGACAGATCCCTTCAGCATCTGAGCCCTGAGTGTTTTCTCTTGGGATTCGGTGCAATGGCATTTTGAGACGGGGAGCGGTCCGAGTAATCACTCTGGGTGGAATTATTAGAACAAAAAACCTCTAAGCCGACTTCTTTTGTCCTGCAAATCAGCCCTTTGTAAAACTTGTGAAGGGCACTGATGTCTGATGCAGCAAATACCATCATATAACCTCAGCTGTGCATGAAAATGAGACTAAAATTTACATATTTATGGCCAAGCAGAGGGAAATGACCATAACAACTGCTAAATGAGATTTTGAGGATCAGTGATCAGGGAGCATTTTTTTCATCTGCGAGGAAATTAAAAGGAAGAAAATGGGGATATTAACTGTAAAACATCAGCCTTACCATCTTTTCCTATCAGGAAGTCCAGATAGCGGTATGTGTAGGCCACGCCCACCTTGGTTTCTACCTGTGGTCTCTTCAGGGTGGAGTAAATCTTCCCTGGGCTGCTGTCCTCCGACACCGGCCTCATCTTACGCAGACCACAGCCCATGGCTGCACACTTTCTCAGGCACGGTCGGGCCCTGCAGAACAAACCAACCACAGACTTTCACTGCACAAAGACCTAGAATGACGTGCAAAAGTTATAGACCACCTCTAATTTCCTAATTCTCCTGAAACATATTTTCAACTGCTGCTTGTCACAAACATACAATTTACTCCTGTTTCTACAGATAAATCTTTCGAAAATACGTCATTTATCAATCAATCAATCAATGAAAGCTTTATTTATAAAGCGCCTTCCGCGACCCTGTCGGGAAGGCCAAGGCGCTGAACAAGGCTTTACTGAGAGAATGCAGGATTTCATTCTCAAAGTGCTTTTATCTGAAAACTTGACAAAAAAGTCGATCATCTCAATGGTGCATCTCTCATGTCCAGTCAGGTATTTCTTTGTTTCCTAAAAACACCACTTTCAGATGGTGCTGGAGTTCTGACAGTCCATTTGTTCTTTGCTTTTCTAAAATTTCAAGAACGGACTCCACGACATTCCCCTGATGGTTAAAGTGCACAAAACAGGCACAGCATGAGTGAAAATGCTAATTCTGAAAAGCATTTTCTAACGTAATGTGGAGAGAACCTGGGTGGAAGGTAGGAGGAGTACTTAAACCAGGGATGGTTTAAAATGTTTGCACAACACCGCAGTCAACAAACCAACTAACTTTTAATCACTAAAACACTCATGCTTCCATTTCTTTAGAATTCAGAGAGCTGATTGTAGGCTGCTTTTTCAAAAATGAACAGAGATGATTGGAAAGGAAGCTTTTAGACATCTGCCTCCTTTATTCAGTTGGTGCACTGCGTCCGTACATGCCCGTGCCCATATCCGAACCTGTGCACATGCCCGTGCCCATATGATCGCCCATCTTCTGAGGCTGCATCTTGGAGCAGGTGTCACCTTATTACAATGCTGATTAAACTAAAAAATGGCCATCTGGCAGTGGTGCCTTCTCCTTTCTCCACAGCTGATCAGCAACCTTCTCTGGTCTTTCTATCTTTTCTAATTACAGGCCGAAGTGGGTCGCTTCAAAGACGACAGGACAGGAAGTTGGTGTGTGTGTGTGTGTGTGTGTGTGTGTGTGTGTGTGTGTGTGTGTGTGTGTGTGTGTGTGTGTGGGGTGGGGGCAGAAGGAAAGAGGAAACTAACAGACGGGGGGCTCTGATAATGAGGTGAACTGGAAGAATGGAAAAGGTGAAAATCAATCAAGGGAGGTAGAATAAATGGGGGTGGCTGGGATGGAGACTGTTCATCTAAAAAGTGGGGGTGGGGGTGGGCAGGGGTAATGCATGGCAAACAGGGTCCAGAAAGAGAGAGGGAGTGCAATTAGAGTGTTGAATAGAAAAGAGGGGATCAGCATACGACAGGAGAGCAGAGAGAGGCAAACGAGTGAGAGACGGAGATTCATCACAGTTGTCATGAAAAGCTCTGTTCCCACTGGCTCGGACATGAGTTCCTTTGTTGGACTTTATGAATCACAATCTTATCCACGCAAGCCTCAGAAATGGACCGATGGGTTTGTAATTAATACCAGAACACACACGCACACAACTTGTCTATCAGTGTGTGTTTGTGTGTGTTTCATGGTTTCATCACATTTTAAATGTAACCAGCTGGAGTGTTTTTCTTCTTCGTGTCTATTCAACCATTTACCAATACTTCAGGGTGCCGTACTCGGGTCCCTATTCAGCTCGTTAATCCAGCCCTTGGAACCAAACCTCATCTCTGAGTCAGCAGGTCTGTTCAGAAACCTTAGATTCATCTCAGTCACCCCCAAAAAACTAGCAAAACATACATAGACAGGATACAACATTTGCTAATGGAGAACATTGTATCTGTAACATCACCAGATGGACTGATTTTGAGATCCCACAGTTCATATGCACGGCCAGAGCAAATAACCCTGGCTACACACGTTCTGCTGTATTTTATCCCGACAGGAGATGGAATGTCTGCACGCAGGCGCTTTAATCAGATGACTTCTTCAGCTGAACTGAAGCTTCATCAGATAATATAGATGAACTGTAGCATTCCTTTCCCCAAGGTTCCTCACAAGAGAACTCCTAAAATAAACTTTTATTCCCAGAAGAAAAGAAGATTTCATAATATAAGTCATCATTTTATATTTAAGAATAATCCTTGAAGAAAAGAAGATCTTACAATTAATAATCACTAAATATTGCCATGTATAATTACGATGATGAAATGCTTCACGAATCTGTTCAATGATGCTAAGTATGTTTACTGGATTAGATCACTCACACCAGACAAGAAGTAAGGCTAAATTAAGAAGCATTACACATAAACTAACCTCGTTTCGCAGACTCAGCGGCTCTGCGTCACAGAGAGTGCGTTCTGAGAATTCTTGATAACTTTGGTAATAGATAAACAGCGGGCTATAAAACCAGCCGCTCCGCTTCCACCCTGAGACAAGTTCGAACCTCCAACAGAACGAGGGTTGGAGAGCAAAGCTTTAAGACTGGCCGTCTTTAGCTGAGCTACCAAAGGATTTTGACACACTGTCAAAACCTTAAGCTTCTGCACCTGCAAAGCTGAGGACAACAAGAGATTTTTCCTGCAGAACAAAGCTGAATTTGCAATACTCCTTCAGAGTGGTTTTGAGACGCTTGGTTTTATCCAGTCCACCTGTTACCTGGAGCGATCCTGGACTGACCTGGTCATACTAGGAGTTAGTCTACGGACTTCTGTACCCGGGGTCTCCAACCCCCTGACATCTCGGATCCGCAAGGGTGTCTCCACTTGGGTATGTAGAACACAGTGAGATAGCGCCTGTATGCAGTTTGATAAGAACAGCTAACAGCTCAGATGCAAACCAAATTCTTTTACTATCCAGAACTCACCTCTCTCTGAGAAGCGGAGACTTAGACTCTGAAATACTATATTCACACCTAGTTCCAGACACACATCTCTTAGTTTGCATCCACTCACAGTAAATACTAGTTTAAACCATTTGTCAAGTCTTAAATTGTTTGTAAAATAAATTATTATCTGTTTGCAAACCTGACTGGTTCTTGAATCATAAACGAAGTGTTTACAGTCCCTGAATAAACAAAGAGTTCTAGAACCTTCTAATTAATCATCCTAAGACCAAGCAAGGTGATATTCTATAATAATAGAGTATTACAGCTATTGGTCACAAAGTAATGAGCATAGAAATAAATAGCTCTTCAGTAATTTATTTAATCCAATTTACCCTCTATTGACTTCATTACATATCCATAAGTTTATGATCATTTTTGGTAATTCTGAAAGACACATGTCCAAAAAAAGAGCAATTGGACTTCTCTTGTTGCATGAAAATGTCAGTCAAGTTGCCTTTTTTGACTCTGAGGATTGACCTCATCCTGGATGATTTAAAATCGACATCAATATGTAAGAATTTTTGATCTAAACTAGAAAATAGCATCAAGCACAACCCTGTCAAACCATAATATTTTGCACAATTTTTTTTAACACCTGAGTTTGTATGAGGATGATTGTTTGCAACGATCAAACCACATTTTAGGTCAACCATCCATCTCCAAGATTTTGGAAAAGGTTGTGGCTAAACAACTCTGTTCTGGTCCTGCTGGACCTGACTGCTGCCTTTGAACTGTTGACCATCACCTGCTACTGGAGAGGCTGAGAGACTGGGTAGGCCTATCAGGAAGTGCTCTGGAGTGGTTCTCCTCTTATCTTTCTGAGCATTCCTTTTCTGTGGCTGTCTCCATGTTTTGGTCCTCCACCACATCCCTCTCTCATGGTGTCCCACAAGGTTCTGTGCTGGAGCCTTTACTCTTCCTCCTCTATCTGCTTCCTCTTCAGCATATCCTGAGCTCCTTCAAAGGAATATCATACCATCTTTACACAGATGACATCTAACTGTACTTCTTATTTAAGCCCCATAAGATGTCTGCTGTAGCTGTCACACACCTGCTTTCTTCAGCTGAATGAAGATAAGACTGTGATCCTCATCTGTGCCACAGACAAGCTGGTTCCCAAAGTCAGAGACTCTCTTGGTCAGCTTTCTTCTCACACCAAACCCTTTATCAGGCATCTTGCTGTGACCTTTGACCCAGCCTTAACCCTGGATTCTCATGTCAGTTCTCTTGTTTGCTCTTCCTTCTTCCATCTCAGGAACATTGCAAAGCCGAGTCCCATTCTATCCTGCTCTGAACTTGAGACTGTTCTCCACAACTTCCTCTCCTCAAGCTTAGCTACTCGACTACTGTAACTCTCTTTTTACGTGTCTGAGCAAAACCTCCCTGAACCGCCTGCAGGTGGTTCGGAATGCCTGTGCTCGGCTTTTGACCAAGTCCTCCAAACACACCCACATCACCCCGCTTCTCCTTCAGCTTCACTGGCTGCTCATTAACTTCAGGGTTAATTTCAAGGACCTGGTTCTGGTCTATAGGGCCTTACATGGACAAGCACCATCATACATTGGTGATCTTCTCAGTCCCTACACCCCCAGCAGGTCCCTGAGGTCCAGTGATCAAAGCCTACTGGTTGTGCAGCACCAGGCTAAAGGTCAAAGGTGACAGATCATTTGCTGCTGTGGCCCCCAGACTCTGGAACTCTCTCCCCCTGAGCCTGAGATCAGTGGACTGAGTGGTCTCCTTTAAAAAGCAGCTGAAAACTCACCTGTTCAAGCTGGCTTTTGTGTGACCTTCATCACCATCTCCTTATTCTGCTCTTTTTACCAATCCTGCCTTTCCTGGGATCCACAGTTTCCCTCTTTCTTATTCATTTTCTCTCTCTCTTTTCTCCCTCTTTTTAATCACATGTATTTTATTTTTTTCTCATTTTTAAAAATGTTTTTATTTTTAAAAAAAATTAACTTGTGAAGCATCTCATGGTTTTTATCTTGAGAGGCGCTATAGAAAAGATCATTTTCTTTTTCTTTCAACATCTGTAAAGCTGATGGAGTTGTAGCCAGAGCTGCATGTTATATTTGACCACCGCCATCACAATAAATGTGTAGAGTCACATCGCACGTTCTGCAGTGGCAATGCCAAGGATACCAGACATGCTGCGATCCAATCACAATCGTTCTTACTGTGTGGAAGCAGACCTTGTGGGGTTACATTTTTTTGATAAAAACAAAGGAGCTATATTGTTTTATGAATTTCATAGACTTTTTTATGTGTCAAATAAAGCAAGCCTGGAGGAGTTCTGCTATGTTGCGGAGTTGCTAATGTTAACGGTTATCTTCTACTAGTCAAAATGTGCTCTGCTCTTTCCTAGACTCTAAACAAACACAACCTTTTGCGTCGTGAGTCAAGATGAGCGAGTCCACAAATGCTAACGTGACATTATGACATGCTAATGTCACTGGCTTGTTTTAATCAAAGCGTTTCCATGTCTTTTTTCTATTGGCAGCTAATGCAGGGAATGGGGGCAGAAGTTTATTTTCGCGTTTAACCTGCATGTTAAACTCAAAGTGACCGATCATATTTCAAAAATAAAAAGCAAAAAACTGTTTCCCAGTGAATTTGGTCTTTAATGGTTGTATCATGTTGCAATAAAATACTATACCGGAAAAGTGTAATTCACCACCCACGTTACTTTATCGCCAGCGAGTTGATCATCAGCAAGACGGTTGCGGCTTAAGTGCTATTAACGTCATCTGTTATCTAATATATTTGTGTAAATCACAGGGTTAGAATAAAATCACAATGTCAAAGCTGCTTTGTGTTTGCAAAGGTTATTAGGTTGAGTTAATCTGTTGTAGATGTACATTCTGAAGGCGTTTTCAGCCTGAGCGAGAAGATGTAGAGAAAGACGGAGCCAAGGGACGAGTT